ATATATAGTGGTGTATCATTTTAATCCCAGATTTTGGGGGCTTTATCAGAGAATTTACCATTTATTTATTTAATTATTTATCAGAGAAAACCGGGATCCCTGGTGATTTCCTATCTGGCAATACATGCGCAAGTGGGATCATGTTCTTCGCCTGCATTGCTTTGGGTGTTCTTTAAAAGCCTACGCAGAGATATGCCCGGTCCATTCTAGCTGTGGTTTCAGAGGGGGGTGGGGAAACATTTTCAGGCTTTGCTTATCCAGACATGATCTAATTCAGCATCTGTCACCTTCCTCTTTATTTATTCCTCCTGGTATCTTGACACCTGATTAATGACATTGCAGTCCTCAATACTTGAAACACAAATGTAAAATTTTTGCATAACCTTTGCTGCAATTGATTGACAAGTGGGGATTGAAATGAAGTTCAGGGGTGATCCTTGCCAGTAGCATTTTGCTGTCATTTTACTGATTCCCTCTCCAGTCCTTGAGTTTTAATCTCTAGTGGGTTTTGAGCGAGTGCTGAGTTCTGTTATCCAGGCTGCAAGATACCAAAGAAACAGCTGGTGGCAGAAAAGTCCATGAGCTCTGTCACTTTTTAGTAAATGCTGCCTGTGTTGAGACGCCTGCCATACATCTGTTCTTCAGTAAGCTAAAATTAGACATATGGGGTTAAGAAAAATAATATGAGGCCTATGTTTATCCTCACTGCAGCTCTTTCTGGTCAGATTAGCTCAGCTTGCAACTAAAGAGGCATTTTCCTAAATGTCAGTTCAGCAAAACCCTGGAGGTCTAAATGGGGCCGGGTTCTTTCTGCCTTTGGCTCTATCATCATAATATGCCTTCTGGGCATGGGACTTTGCTGCTAGTTTTGGTAACGGAAGTCGAATAGAATCCAGCTAGGTCTTGCATAGCGTTGTTGGCCATGCATATTGTTTGTGAAAGAAAGATCACAGCATGCACTGCTAACGTAGATCTGTGCACTCCTTCAAGCAAGATAGGACAGAAAAGCCCTAGATTGTATGTGAATGAGCAGATGTTCCAGGTAGAAGCCCTCCTTTATGGAAGTTGGGAAGAGATCAGAAAGTTGAGGCCTTCCTTGGCATGACCTGCTTGCTCTAGACATGGTCCACCCTTCCCTTTCCAGTAGGGTGAGGAATTCCTTGTAGAAAACTGTAGTATTTCTTTCATGCATGTGACTTCTGAGTGAGCAAAGACTTGTGGACCAGAGACTGATTAATGGTAGAGACCCAAACTGAGATGTGCCATTATGTGGAACATGGGATCCGGGACCCCTGTGGAATTGAAGGTCTAATCCAAGTTTTATAATCGGTGTAATTCTGCATGGGTTTCCTTGTGTGCCAGCCATGGTCTACTCAGTGTTGTCCCACATGCCTTTCCTTAGGGTGGTGTGATATGCCTTTAATTCATAGTTATAACTCACAGCATAGATTCATAGATGTTAGGGTCGGAAGGGACCTCAATAGATCATCGAGTCCGACCCCCTGCATAGGCAGGCAAGAGTGCTGGGTCTAGATGACCCCAGCTAGATGGTTATCTAACCTTCTCTTGAAGACCCCCAGGGTAGGGGAGAGCACCACCTCCCTTGGGAGCCCGTTCCAGACCTTGGCCACTCGACCTGTGAAGAAGTTCCTCCTAATGTCTAATTTAAATCTGCTCTCTGCTAGCTTGCGGCCATTATTTCTTGTAACCCCCGGGGGCGCCTTGGTGAATAAATACTCGCCAATTCCCTTCTGTACCCCCGTGATGAACTTATAGGCAGCCACAAGGTCGCCTCTCAACCTTCTCTTGCGGAGGCTGAAAAGATCCAGTTTCTCTAGTCTCTCGTCGTAGGGCTTGGTCTGCAGGCCCTTAACCATACGAGTGGCCCTTCTCTGGACCCTCTCCAGGTTATCCGCATCCCTCTTGAATTGTGGCGCCCAGAATTGCACGCAGTACTTCAACTGCGGTCTGACCAGCGCCCGATAGAGGGGAAGTATCACCTCCTTGGACCTGTTCGTCATGCATCTGCTGATGCACGATGAAGTGCCATTGGCTTTTCTGATGGCTTCGTCACACTGCCGACTCATGCTCATCTTAGAGTCCACTAGGACTCCAAGATCCCTTTCCACTTCTGAGCCAGTGATGCATAGGCCAAATATGTATAAGGCGGCCAAGTTCTAAAATTGCTCTACTAATAAAGCTTTAATGGCTCAGCTCATTCACCAGGCCAGAAATGCTTGGTGCTTAGGACTCAAAAGCTGTTTTGTGTTTGTTTTTGTTCACTCCATGGAGCCTGTATCTTAATGCTTACATCAGCTTTGGGTTGTGCCGTATCAAAATGTATATAGATCTGTGCTGGTTTCCTCTGTCTTGATAAGGTGTCAACCATCACATGTTGAAATTTGTCCATGCAGCTTTCAAGCTTGCTGCCAGTTGCAGGTCAGCAATATGCCAGTTCCACCCAGAATCAAACAGGCTGAAATTAAATTAAAGGAACGTGGCTGAAATTAAATGACTTTGCACTTGGTGCATTGCTCCTCTTCTGTGCTTTGGGTGTGGCATAAGCAAGTTATCTCTGCTTCCCCTCTGGATGTAATTACCACTCCTTGGATTTGCTTTCTGAAGATCTTGTAAATGCAGCATTGTTTTTCTTGGTAAATACCACTTTTTAACACATATGAACTGTTGTAACTATTGGCTTCACATGAAGGCACCTGGATATCCCTTAAAGCATGCGGGACGTTTACTGAGACCACTAGTCTGAAAGCTTGTAAAATGCCATATCCTCTTTGCATATCACAGTGCTTTTAACAGTGTGCAATAACTGTGCATGCCAGTGGTGCTCAACTTTTTGGTCCAATGGGCCAGATGAATGGCACAGGGCCAGTCTAGGCCCTGGGGCTCAGCACTGCCCCCTCTCTGACCCATATGCTGGGATTGGGTCCTGGGGGCTACCACTAGTCCCTCCTTCTCCCCATGCACTGAGATTGGGATTCTGAGGCCAAGAACTGCTCCCTTCCACCCTCTGCATGCTGGGATTGGGGTCTGGCACTGCCCTTGTCTGGCCCTGCATGCAGGGATTGGGTGCCCCATCCAGTGTGCAGGGTCCAGGGCTCTTTGTGGGTCCAGAAATTTTAAAAGCCTACGCAGAGAGATGCCTGGTCCGTTCTAGCTGTGGTAGCAGCTGGGGAGCAGTGCCAGCAGTGCCCTGGTGTCCAAGTTCCAGACCTGGGGTGAGTCTCATGGGCCGGATCTGACCCACAGGCCACAGGTTGAGCACCCCTGGTGTACACAGCACTCAAAGGAACAACGATCAGGGCTTTTTACTCCTCCATTGTGTATAAGTAGGATTGTTACGACTATTTTAAAGGATATAGGCAAACTCAAAGTGGAACGTAGCCATTTTTATGAAACGAGCTTTAAAAAAAAATACCACAGGCTGCTGTCCCAACTCTGCAGAAGCAGTTTGACTCCAGTGAACTGGACTGCATCTGGGGTTTCCATCAGTCATGTTTAAATGCACCGTACTTGGTTTATATGTAGTCAAAAGAGATAAAGAGGTTTTGTACCTGGAAGAAAAAATGCTCGCTCATGACTTCAAGCAGCGCTTTTTTTCAAGCCACCACATCCCAGCACTCCTGCAAACATCAATACAGTTGAGGTTTGGGAGGTGGGGTGGGGTGGGGGGTGGCCACTGTGATTGCGACCTGTTTTACCTCGCACTGCAGCAATCTGAGTTCTTTTGAGGTTTGATGCGGTTGTATGGATGGATATTGGCTTGCATTTTTTTTTCTTTTCTTTACAGAGATAAGGGATCAAGAAAAAGGGAGAGCAGCCCTTTAGGATTCGGGTAGGTCTCCATGCTGCCTACCCTATTTAGAAAAGCTAGAATACTACATTTATACATAAAGGAAGAACACAAATTGCTGCTGATTTGGGTAACTGGCATTTTAAAATCTGGGCATACTAAGAAATACTAGGTTTCCATTATGGAATGCAAAAGCATAAGCTGCAGGCAAAGTTATGGATTTGCCAAGTTAAACAGTGCTGAATTTCAACTCTCCAGATTTATTATTCATGAAACTAGATAATGATTAAACTCCTTGTAGGAAGGAATGAGCGCTTGCATATCCAAAGGATTACTCTGATTTCCCCTTCCATCCTTAACGATCATCCCCAGCTGAGCAGGGTTTTTTGCGCACAGCAGATAGGCCAGGGACAATTCCATTCTGAATTATGGTGAATGGATTTTTAACCAGTAGATAGTGTTTGCAATTGAAATACTTAGCCTGCTTATCTCTTAGGAAGTTTAATCCTAGTTTATTAAAAGCACCTTCTCTAGTCTTCCCCTTCTGCCTGAGAACTTTCTTTCTTTCTCAGTGTCTCTTTGTTACAGAAAAAATGCCAGAGGTTGAGAAATCTCTTGTACTGAGAAACCTAAGTGGCTGCATACATGTGGTTTTATACTAAATTTCAGAGCTAAGTAACACATGCTGTTCCAAACAGGATTCTGATAGGTTTTTTTTTTAAACTTCATTAGGTTTAAAGGGCAGGTTGTCTTTGGGCAATGGTTCAACAAAGTGCACTGTCCCAACATAGACCTTTGAAACTGTTCTCCTCACTTTTCATACACTAAAGTTTGATTCACCTGTCCTCCAATCACTTACTGACTGTTGTCAGTCCAAATTACTGAAAAGTTAAAGCTATCGTTGGAAAAGTATGAGATTGATGTGCCAGAAGGGGTTTTCAACAAATTGGATGTATATTTTTATGATGTGGTAGAGCTAATGATGCCTTCTTCACCTTTAGACTAGAATCCCCTTTTAATGAGGAAAGGCTTTTACTTTGGTCCTGGTAAATGGCTAAATAATTGGCAAATACTTTTATATTTCTTTATAAACATGCTGTTTGAAAAAATTACTAATTCTGTTTCAAAAATGTGTTTCTCTGAAACTTACTACAAGTTTCAGATTGTAGTAAGTTTAAGCACTTAACAGAGGGGAGAAGAAAAAGTATAGATGGTGTTTTTGTTTTTATTTTTTAAAAATAATCTTTGAAACCATTTTAAGAAAGCTTTGGCAATGTTAAGAGTTTTTTTGTGATGCCCATTGGTGTTGACTTCTTGCCTTATTCAAAATCATGTCAATGAAATGTATATACCAAACCACTGTATTTCCTCTGTGTTATACATGAGCCCAGAGACTTTTGTACCTGGTGGATTTTTATGAATCGATGTTTTTGTATTGCGGGGGGGAAGAATTTGCTGAAGGGTGGCCTGTCCTTGGCCAGAATCAAAAAATCGTTAGCAACATGCCAGTAATCTGCGTGCTGCAACTCCTGTGTTTCTCCTTACACCTAAAGGAGAAACCCAGAACCAGAGAGCCATTCCAAACATATGAATGCTCCATTTTGCTATTGATGCTGACCCCAAGATGGAGCGTTGTCTGTTGTTTGTAGTTTTGCATGCCACCAATCCCTATGAAAGGACAGTCCCCTGAAGACTAGCAGGGGGGAAATTGCACCGTCTTACTGAACAGATGTGGCCTTTTATGCATGTGATCACCCTCAAGAGTTTAGAAGCAAATCTCTGTACTACTTTCAAGTTCTGTTTGCTGTGCTGCATTGTAGAATTAAAATTGAGATGGGCTGAATTCCTCCTTCCCTGTGTAAGTGCTACTCGTGGAAAGCCAATAAATATATGCCTCTGCATTCAAGTTGGCCAGCCCTGGTATCCTGACGGTCTTATTGGTCTTTGGGATGCTGACTGGTGATGTGCATGAAGGAAAACCCCGGAGTCTCAGATCCTCGCAGAAGTTTGCAAGGCTAGCAGTTAGATTACATCCCTTAAAACAGTTCACGTGGACAGTGAACACAACGCCATGTCACCAATTCCTCGGTCCCTTTTTGGAGGAGAAGTGCATGCGTAGAGCAGTACCACTGCTTGCATCACACTTGGATCAAAGGCTGCTTTAGCGCTGGGGAATCTTGACACACAACTGCTTTTAAGAAAAGAACTCTCTTAAAGCCAGTGGGAGTTGCAGGTAATTGATAGCTCTAGAAATTAAGCTCTTAATTTTTGTTAAGATGCTTTGTAGCTGCTCTCTTTTCAGCCTCTGGGCTGAAATTAAGTTATGTGGGTCTTGTGTGACAGTATAATGTAGGTTTATATGAAGTGCTAGCGGTTTCTGAGTATTTAAAAGCAGCTGACAGGCTTAACTGAACATGTCTGGGCATCTCCTGCAGTGCAGTATATTGGTCTGTGCATGTAGCGACACAGATCTAACTGGGTTGTGTTGTGTTTTGTTTTGTCAGTGATGATGGCCAAAGAAAAACCACCAATAACCGTTGTTGGAGATGTTGGAGGAAGAATCGCCATCATTGTGGTATGAAACTGAAAGAGAGGACTGCAGGATGGGATCATGTGCTCCTAATCCAATTTTTAAAATGTGTATGCTAAAATAAAGATGGGAGTTCTGTTCTGGTATAGAAACTGACTGCTACAGTACTGGAATACTAATGTGCCTGTTCTTTCCAGTTTTCCTACTAAATATCAATGCTCATTCCACCGTTCAAATTGTTATTTATCCTGGAGATATAAACCCTGAACTGTTCCTTGCGAGTTATGCCTACCAATGTTGCATAAACCCAGCATACACAAACAAATCTGTAAGAGTCTAAATGTCTTGCTGCTCCTTTCATTCTCATCCTGCTGCAGGATGTTGAAATAAGTGTATTTTTATCTTTTGAGCAGAAGGTTTTGGCAGATGAAGGGACACCATCAAGGCCTTCTCTGTTCTAATTATTGTTTCTGCCCCAAACCGCCTGTGTGACCTTGAACAAGCCAGAACCTCTCCCTGCCTTACTTTTCATATTCACCCGCAGCAATGTGCTACCTCTCAAGGGTGCTGAGGCTTAGTTCATCATTTCAGGGGCAGTTCAGAAGTGCACTGATGAGCAGCACAAAAATGCCTGCAAATAAATATAACGACATTGAATAGTAAAGGCTTTGTTTTTAGCTTAGATGGGTTTTTTGATCTTCACTGGTGGCTGATGTGTAACTACTGCAGCTTTTGAAAATAAATACGGATTCTACAGCTGTAGGAATGGGGAGATCCGACTCTTACTGTGACATGTAGTAGCCTTCTGATCCTGATGTCTTTTCCCTCAGGATGACATTATCGATGATGTGGAAAGCTTTGTAGCTGCTGCAGAGATCCTGAAAGAGCGAGGCGCTTACAAAATTTTTGTGATGGCCACTCATGGCCTCTTGTCTGCAGATGCTCCCCGTCTGATTGAAGAATCCTCTATTGATGAGGTATGCCCCCCTGTCTTGTGTGTAGGCTAGTTAAAAAATGCCAGGCCAAGAAATGCATTGGCTTTTGGCTTCCAAGAAGCAGCATTCCAGGGTCACACTTCTAAAACACCTTCCATTTCACTCTTACCTGGCAGAATTTGTACTGAAGTAGGAGCACATGCTTAAAAACCCCTGTTCTTCACTGGGATTCATTTGAGGACAGATTTTTGAAGCTTGCTTTGGGTTAAGCCTAGCCTCCCTCTGGCTTTAAGTGTATTAGCTGAGGCTACTGATTACTTTTCCATGAGTGATTATAATTCACCTGACATCCTCGTGCTGATGCAGAGAACCAAACTGATATTAGTTAGTTGGTAGGAAGGCCAAAGAGTCCAAGTATGGAGCACATGCCTTTAACCATAAATGAGGTTTCCAGTGTAGGTATCAGAAACGACTTGTTTTCCATTATGTTAGAATGGGGGTGTCAAACCTGCAGGCTAGATGTGGCTCATGGAGCTGTCATTAGGCCTGCAGGGCTCCCAGAGGGGCTGGGAGTTTGGGGCAGGGCCCACTGTGAAAGCTGTGGGTACAGAGCCCTGCTGGAGATGCATGTCAGTGATGGGGGTGAGCAATGGCTGTATTGACTCCCATGGCCAGAGCTCATTCTGTTGCTGAATCCAGACCCAGTCTGTTGAGGAAGGTTGTTTGACACCACTGTTGTAAGTATGAAAAATACCTTTCAATTAGTTTTAGTTCAGAGACAAATGGCCCTTTTAAGAATCATCCCTCTGTATAGATGTCCTGTCTGCCTAGAAGAGTATCAATCCCACCCATCTAGGCTGAATGGAGAGGCTACAGTACAGCCACCATTTCAGGAGCAATTCTTTCAGTGACAGGCTTTAACCTCCCTGCACTGTCCAAAGGATAAGGAGCTGGGATTATATCTGTGTCCTTGGTGCACTATAGGTAGTTAACTGTTCATATGGACACTTCTCTCTTCCACATGTTCAGCATGTGGTTGCTTTTCTGTAGTATAGCCCTTCTGGGTATTACTCTGGTCTCTGTCTCCCATTTGGAGGTGGGCCGCTGGGTGGTTTTATGCATCAGAACAAGTCATTTAATCTGACTAGCAGCAGCCAAGAACCTATGAGTTTAAATAGATTTACTAGCCCCCAGGGAGTCCATTGGTGGAAAATATTGTTTGTATCATCCCCTTCCACAGATGATTAGACTTTAAGGACCTTATTTCAGTCTTTGTCTTCACATATATAATTCAGATGGCACCTATCTGCATCTCCTACTAAGAAGCTTCAGTTATGAATGATTTAAGGAGCCATTCTTGAGTAGCAGTTGGATCTGAATGGATATGTTGATCGTGCTATTAACGTTGGGGTTTTTTGGTAATCTGCAGGTGGTGGTGACCAACACAGTTCCTCACGAAGTGCAGAAGCTGCAGTGTCCCAAGATAAAGACAGTAGATATTAGTTTGATCCTCTCTGAAGCCATCCGCCGAATCCACAATGGGGAGTCCATGGCCTATCTCTTCCGTAACATCACTGTGGATGATTAGATTCTAATGATGTCCCTATCCTGGGTTTCTTAATGAGAAGGGAGAAGGAAAAGTGCATGAAAAAAATGCCATAAATTTAGAGAGAAAACAGCTCTTTTTTTTTTCTTTCTTTTTTTAGGGGTGGGGAGGGGGGGAAGGGGTGGCGCTGGGGAGAAGAGGGAAGACATTAGGGACAGGAGCTGCAAGATTGCATAGCAAAAGTAAAACTGAACAGCACTAATGCCCATAGCCTTTTCTCCTCACCTATTATTAGGGGAAATTAAACTAGTTGTTATCAGAGCATGAGGAGGCTGTGAATTGAAATACAAGTTGCTAATGTTTGCCTCGCATTCCAGAACTAAAATGAGGGGGACATTTGGAAGTCTTCTTGCTACATGTTAACTGGTAGGAGTCTTGATTTTGACTTCTAGTCTCTATGAATTGAGTAATAGAGTTCAGAAGGGAACACTTCATTTAAGCTGCTTGGATGAGTAAGTAGCTCTCTGCATGGCTGATGTGCTAAACGTCCATCTGCCAACTGATAGCCTCATTTCTACCTTACAGATTTATTTTTATGAAATGAGTTGCTGCAAGTATGTTCAGCAGTAGCAGCCTAGAATGACCTGCTGGTAGGAATTGGACTTGTAGGTGTATGTCCAATCTGTCTTTCTCAGCAAGGCAGTGGGTACAGTTATAAAGCACACCAGCCTTTTGTCCCTTGAGCCTTGAGTTTTTATCATGCCTCCATGGCAAGTAATGTGAGTCTGGTTCCTACTGAAATGCTTACCTGAAAGCAAAATCAGGCACTAGTTCTGATGTGGCCATGGGCTCACAGATTGGCCACAACTAAAATATCATGGTAGTATGGGCCTGAGCAGGGGAATCTCAGCACAGTATCTGCCTCAAATTACAGCAGTACTTTCCAAAACACTAACTCTCAACCTGCAGTACAAAGCTAGGATTTTTTTTTAATTTACTTTTGGCTCTTTCTAGCCCCCTTTGCCCTGCAGACAGCTGCCATCTCTGGACCAGGTGGTTTGCTGTGGTAAATGTATTCACTTGGCAGCCTTGTTGATCGAAGGATGACACAGCTGCTTTAAAGCTATTTTCAGAAACCTGCTAAATGTCTTCTGCCCCTGGAGACCCTAGGCCTGGTTGCTTGCTCCTTTCTCATGTAATGCTCACCCTTGGCTATTAATGAAAAAGAAGAGCAGGTGGCTTTGAAAAGGAATGCAGGGTTCCACTGTGTTGTGATTCGAGTTTTTCTGGTCTCCCATAAGACCCAAGGGTATATTCCAAAATAATCTGCTTTTTGACAGGGCCAGGTCAGTGTGCACTCTAGTTAGACCTATAATGTTTTCTGAACAACAAAGCATTTTGAAGGGGGGCTATTGCTTGGGAGAGAACAGGGCAGAGTTATTTTGCTGTCTCTAGCAAGAGTTTTGTTTATAGTATTACTTATCCATCAACTTGTACCTACATACGTCACTCGCAAGCGTTAACAAACACATCCTGAGGGTGTTAAAGAGCAAATGCTAGCACCGAGTCCAGAAAGAGCCTTGAGATGGTTAAACAAACAAAAGGTCTTTTTCAGTGGAGTAAAAGTGCATTCAAAGAGCTGTCGTCCTAGCTTGAAGCCACTCTGTATGAAATCACAAAACTGAATGCAGGTAGTCGGCCTTCACTTCTGGTATCCAGCTGTTGAACAAAACCTCCAAACCAAATCTCACAAGCAATATCCAGGACTCTGCTTAATGTAGTGACTATGGAGGATTTTACTGTGTTTACTAAGCACTAGGAAAAGTTACAGCTGTGCTCTGCTATCAAGATCACGTGCTTGGCTCCTCAGGGCTGCTTACTGTGTTTTAACATGGTACTGTATTTTAAGTATTATTGAAGGGATTGACTGAAGTTTGAGTGTATCCTTGTTCTTAACTAGCAATAGGCTGCAGCTGCGTAGTAGTTGCAGCCAGTTTTATAAAACTGGCGGTAGTAGTAGCCAGTTTTATAAAACTGGCTACATTTTTGCCCCTTCTCCTGTTTAACTAGTTTAGACCAGAACCTATTATAAGCTTGATGATTCATTTCCTGAGTGGGCTACCCTCCTGCCTTTCTAATTTGGCCTCTCTTCAAACCCCACACTGGCTCTCAGGGCAAAATGAATCAGGATGCACACTAGTCATAAATTGTTCACGTTAGAAAATCCCCCACTGTTAGCACAGTTGGCAGGCTGTGTTCTTAGGACCCTGGGCACCAAGGAGAAGGATTACAAGTCAGGATTAAAATGCATCAGAAGAGCTGTTTTGGAAGCTTTGCATAGTGTCTGGTGAACCACCGCTGACTTGG